AATTGTGAAAGAAGACTAAAAGAAGAAATTAGGATATAAATACCAAATTTAGAATAAAATAGTTATCTACAGCCAACTTAAAAAAATACACTATAGTTAATTCATCTGAAATCAGCTCTCATGAGTTATAAATTTGAATATAACAAAATGCAAAAACAGCTTTATTGATAATTTTAAATAGTCATTGTTAATTTTCACTAATTAATGATAGAATATCATATCTACTATGCTTTTATTTCGAAAATTTTCAAACATACAGAAAATCTAAAATAAATATATAATTACTCATGTATCACCTGTAATCAATGTATTAAAATAATATTTTTAATTATTTTTAAGTATTCCTATATTCATTTCTCAATATCAATTTCATAAATTTTGCTACATTCGAATTAAGTTATAAGAGTAACTCTTTGGAGCTGAGTGCAGAGATATAAAATGTTGACAAACACATACAGTCATGTAATCACCACCACAGGAGGCAGCAAACTATGGTCCTGATATCAGACTGCTTGCCAGTTTTTAAATAGTTTCACTGAAACACAATCATGCCCATTTATTAATTACAAAGCCTACATTATTTGTTCTCTGTTCCTTTATAGAACAAGTAGTTATAACTTTTTATAAATGTCCTTTATCAAATTGAGAATTTTCCCTTTTATTCATACTTTACTGAAAGTTTTTATTATGAATGGATGTTAAATTTTGTCAAATGCTTATACTGCATCTTGAAATGATCATATTTTTTCAAAAATCTGTTGATGGGATAAATTACGCTGATCGACTTTAAATATTGAAACTTTTCATTCCCTGGAAAAAACATTACTTTGTCATGATTTATTATTTTTTTTCATATATTGCTAACTTTTATTCACTGCTATTTATTGAGGATTTTTGTGCATATTCGTGAGGGCTATTGGTGTGTAGTTTTAAAGAGTTTTGTCTTTAAAGATTATTTATCTTGTTTTGTCTTTTAAGATTATTTATCAGGGTAATACTTGACTCTTAAATGTTTCTTACTGTTGTATTGTTGTGAGAGTTTGATTAGCACTGGTGTTACTTTTTCTTGAAATGTTTGGTTGAACACACCATGAAATTAACTAGACCTGAATTATTTTTGTTGCTGTTGGCAGGATATTAGCTATAAATTCATTTTCTTTAATAAATATAGGACTATTCAGGTGGCTTTATGTCCTCTTGAGTGAGTGCGGAAGTTTGTCTCAGGGAAAAAAGCTTAAGTTGTGAAATGTATTACCATCCAGTTATTCTAGAATGAATAACTGTAAGATCAATATCTTACAGTATCTGTAAGATCTATATTGATGTTCCTTCTTTAATTTTTGATATTGATCATTTATATCATCTTTTTTTGTTAATCATTCTGGCTAGCGTTTTATCAATTTTATTAAACACTTCAAAAAATTACATTTTGTTTTCATTGATTTTTCTTTCATTTTATGTTTCAGATTTTATTTTTTGTTATCTTTGTTATTTTCTTCTTTCTGCTTGTTTTGGTTTAAACTTGCTCTTCTTTTTATAGTGTCTTAATTGAAGGTGAAATCACTGACTTGAACACCTTATTCTTTTTTAATAAAGCATTTGAAGCTATACCTTTCCTCTAAGCACTGCTTTAGATGCCTCACAAAGAATTTTTGGTTGTATCTTCATTTTCTATCATTTTAAAATATTTTTAACTAGTCTTATGAATTCCTATTTGAGCTGGAAGATAATGGAACTATATTGTTTAATTGAAAAAATATTTGGGGATTTTCTAGATACATTTAATTACTGATTAGTTGTTTATTTGTGTTGTGGTCATAGAACAAACTTAGTAATTTTAACTAATATAAATGTGTTGAGGTTTGTTTTCCAGCCCACACTATGGTCTATCTTGGTGAATGTTCCCTGTGCACATGAAAGAAATGTGTATTCTGCTGTTGCCATATTGTTGATGGTGTTGTACAGGTCTTCTATATCATTACTAAATTTCTGTCTACTGGTTCTGTTGGTTACAGAGAGGGGAACGCTGAACCCTCCAATTATAGCTGTACTTTTCTTTGTTTTTTATTTCAGTTTTAATAGTTATGGCATCTTGTATTATAGGGTTATTTTGTTAACTGTAAGCAGATATAGAATTTTTATATCTTCTCAGCAAATTGGCCTTTCTATCTTTATGTTATATTCCTCTATATACCTAGCAACATTGCTTCTTCTGAAACACATCTACTTTTATATTAATGTAGTCACAGGAGCTTTCTTTTAATTATTGTTTTAGTGCTTTTTTCCTGTATGATCATCTCTGTATTTTCATTAGTGTGTTTAGATCATACATTTCATTCAGTATAATTATGATATGGATAAACTGGAAATCTACCCCTATTGCTATTGTTCTTTCCTATTTTTTCCATCTATTCTTCATTGCATTTTTTTCTTTTTGCCTGTTATTGAATTAAATATTTGTGTAACACTTACTATTTACATTTATGGCTCTCTATTCATATATTTAAAAATATTTAAAAGAATAATATTTTTTGACGTTAGAATATAACAAAATATTAATTTATTACATTCTAACTTCAAAAAATATTGTTCTGCTTTGTGTATAGTGTAAGAAACTAATGATGGCAGGCTTGTAATTCCCCTCTCTCATCTTCTGTGCCAATATCATTACACATTTTACTTTTACATATGTTAAAAACTATAATACATTGCTACTGTTTTTACTTAGGCAGTAAATACATGGTAGGAAATTTTTTAATAAAAATAAATATATATATTTTATTATATATACATATATACACATTTATGGACATAAATCTTCCTTTTTTAAAATAAATGTAACTTTCTGTCCAATATTATACACCTTCTGCCTTAAAAATATCCTTTTAGTATGTCTTATACTGTGGGTCTGACAGCAATAAATTGTCTCAGATTTTGATTGTTTGAAGAAAAACCCTTTTGTAAGTATTTATTAGAGCTATTTCTGCTCTATATAGGATTCTGGGTTAACTTTTATTTTTTTTCTTTCAGCACTTTAAAGATGTTACTTCATTGTCTTGCATATTTTTATACCAGAAGTTTGCTGTCAGTCTTACCTTTCTTCCATGTCTCTTTTTTTTCTTGGCTGCTTTCAATATTTTTTCTTTATCTTTTGTTTTTGATGGTTTGAATATGATGCATCATGGTTTAGTGAGTGTGGGTACTAATGTGTATGTGTGTTTTGCAAAGCTATTCATTCCACCTATGCAGAAGACCAGCAACAGAAGTACACAGCCTTTATGCCTGAAAATGTACATGCCTCTTCTCTTCTATGTTAGTGTAGTGGTTGGAGGCAATACAGTCAGGAGCTGAGTTGAGTGTGGGTTTTGTTGTTGCTACATTCAGTTTCAGTGTATCATATACCTCAGCCTAGTATGGAAAAGAAGATTATTCTCAGTGTTCCTACTCTACCCACAGCTTTTAACCTTCCCTGTACACCTGTGCCTCAGAGGCCCTTCCTCCAGGGGTTGTCAGCTTCTGATTGTTACCTGGTGTTTGTTGGCCTAGTGATCGGGGGCAGGAAAACTCTCTGATGTCCTCGTCCAGGGTCAGACTTAGGCAGGCCTATGTCTGAGTGCTAGGGATGAAGATTTCCCCATGACCTATGCCTTCCTTTTCATGGCAGTCAAACTGCAGCTTATGTACAGGAGAGAGTTTTCTGCCCCTGCTCTAATGGTATTGCTGTAAACATGAGGCCCAGGAGTGCTTTCTATCTCTTCCACAAGGCTGAAGTTTTGCTCCTTAGGGGAGAGAAGCCAGGATAGGACCCTGTGCTTCTCCCACAGAAGCATCCTCTTTTCTCCCCCAGGCTTGAATTATAATATTTCTCTTGAGCTGTGAATAGGGTCCATGAGGAAGAGCATGCAAGAGAGTAAAACTTTTCCTTGTAACTGTGGCTTCCAGGGATCCTAGTCTCTCCTGCTACCTCACAGTCAGCCTAGTTTCTTGGATGGTGCCAGTGTCTCTTCCTTGTGTACTCTGCCACAGGTGAACCAAGGTTCACAGCATGGTTCCTTTAAGGAACATGCTTATATTTAAAGTTTAGATTCCTTGATTTGTCATCTCCCTGATGCATGCTTGAAAAGTTTTAATTTTTATAGTCAGTGTAGGGATAATACTTTTCCAACTTTCTACATCCTCAGCAGATTTTCAACTCTACGTTTTATGTCTCAGACTATTATCTTAAAGAAGTCTCATTGTTTCCTTGTGTTAACATAGTTATGACATCATAGTCACCCTTTTAATATTTATCAAATCTAGATATTTTTATATCTCATCATTAGGCTGTAAATATGGAATTATAAAATTTTAATAGGATCATGAAAATAATAACCTATACTGATATTTTATAATTTCTTCATAGAATTTGAAAATAAATCATTTCCTATTAAAAATTGAATTTTTTTTTCTGGATATAGCTTTAAAGCTATTGCTACATATAAAGTCTTTTAATGAATTATCGCAAATGCTATAACCATTATTTCTCAAGACTAAAGTCGGGTCTCTGAAGGCACTAATTGCTTAAAGAAACACAACAAGGAACTCCACTCATTGTCTGAAACCAGTTTTGATTGCTAGATACACTGTTTTTCATGATCTTTGAATCATTTCGACTTAGTATAAAAATACATGTCAGGATATTTGCTTTTAAGAAAATGTTATTTTCCAATATATATATATATAGTTAAAAAGGAGTTACAGTATAATTCAAAAACTATTTTTCCTTGTGAACATATCAAATAGATTAAGGAAAATGAGGCTACCCTAAACATCTTCTAGAATCAGCTTGGTATCTGAAACTCCAGCTGGGACTCAATATTATTACCTATAAAAATAGATGTTGCCTCTAGTGAACAATGTGGTCTCTTGCGTCTTCAAGATCTATAATTGTTAAATCGTGTATTACTTTTTTAGTCGTTGTTTTGAAATCATACTAATAATGAATCTTTCTATAATTGCAGGTTTCATATGGGGAGAAATTAAACAGATGTGGGATGGCGGACTTCAGGATTACATCCATGATTGGTGGAATCTAATGGACTTTGTAATGAACTCCTTATATTTAGCAACAATCTCCTTGAAAATTGTTGCATTTGTAAAGGTAACTATTATTTATGTTGTTGGTAAATCGTAAGTTCCGATTATTAATGATATACTTTCAATTGATATCAGTTTTATTAATAAAGTTACCTAGAGCTTTTTCTCGATGTGATATTCATCAGCTCATGATTTTATTGATAGATATATAGGGATAAAAATACATAAATAAATGCATAACCTCAAATCACAAAACAAGTTTTCATAAGTAGAAGTTATCACCCAATTCCCTTCCATCTTCTAAGTAGACTGATGTCTCAAAATTATTCACAGGAACTACTCTAGTTTCTAATCCTTTATATTTCTAATGAAATTCTACTTCAAACCTTGTTTAAATTTTGGAAACCCAAATCTTTTTTTTTTCAGTTATAACTAATAGGTAAAGTATCATGGAAAGATCAAAATATTACTCTTTCAAGGCATTGAAATTATTATTTCAGTATAAACTAATACAGTTTGATATAATTAGAGCAGAATATAATTTCTTTCTCCTCATCCCATTCAACATGACAGTGCCTGAAATCTCACACACTCATTACTCCCCCAGATTTTGTACAACATCAATCTTATCCAACCACATAATTTACATAAAATATTTTTGTTCTGTAATGACAATCGGGATTATTTTGTACTTTATTGGGTTTCTTTCAACCCAAAGGATTATGTTCTCTTCTTCACTGACTTTCCTTTCCCTTTTTCCTTTTCCCTTTCTTTTAAAAAACAATTTTTTTTTAATGACTAGTTAATTGGTAAAAAATAAAGAATGTCTAATTGGGTGTTACATAAATAATACATTCAATTTAATAATCTGAACTAGAAAATGCTGTCATGTAGAATCACTCTTATTTGTTTAGCCTAGTTCTTAAAATAAGGGCCTGTGTTTCTGCAGACAACCTTCAGTTACGATAGAATAAAAATTGTCTGAAGTCGGAAAGGCCATAGTTTTTGGTTAAAATGCTCACCAAAATACTAGGGGAAAGTAATTTCTGTCAATATTTGGAAAGCAACTATCTTTTAAAATGAAAACATAATTTGGTAATTTTATCAATGCATTGAGGTTAATGACCTTGAAGAGTTTAAGACAGCAGAAGGTACTCTTTTAACCAAAGGAGATTACACATCTATGTCAGAGGTGGGCAGTCTGTGATTAAGTGCCTAGCTCTCCAATCCCCTTCTTCTGTCATGGTCCTTAGATGTATACATAAAGTTGTTTAGACCTACCTCTAAAAGTAATATATGTAGTATTTTGTGGAATTATGCCATCATGAAATTCTTGGATTATATCACAATAGTGGTTCTTTTCAAATTTCCAAGTGGATAAGAATTATGAGGAGGGCTTGCTGAAACTCAGATTCCTTTTCTCCATCATCAGTTTTAAGTTAGGAGTACTAGTACAAGGTCCAAATTTGCACTTTTAACAAACTCTCAGTTGATACTGATACAGTTGATCTAAGGAAGATACTGTGAAGAACATTGCACTGTACAGACCTGTTCCATAGCTCAGAGACTTGTGAGATTGAATCCAAAAGAAACTTCTGTGATGCATTTATTTAAACAATGTTTAAACTAAGCTATATTTGCATGGTGTTTATATACAGTACATATATTTTTTCATGTATAAGAACATAAGAACTCTGGTATGTAGTGAGTATGCTTACATAGATTAATGGATACTTGTGGATGTTTTGCCTCAAGACTTTTAGATGTGGGATTTTTTTTGTTTGTTTGTTTTGTTTTGAGATGGAGTCTTGCTTTGTCACCCGAGCTGAAGTGCAATGGTGCTATCTTGGGTCACTGCAACCTTGGCCTCCCAGGTTCAAGTGATTCTCCTGCCTCAGCGTCCTGAGTAGCTGTGATTACAGGCACCTGCCACCATGTTCAGCTAGTGTTTTGTATTTTTTTTAGTAGAGACAGGGTTTCACTATGTTGGCCAGGCTGTTCTCCAACTCCTGACCATGTGATCCACCCACCTCAGCCTCCCAAAGTGCTGGGATTACAGGCGTGAGCCACCAGGGATTTTATTTCATTTTATTTCGTTAAAAAGTTGTAAATTCTACACATACAAAATTGATTTTACCATTAAAATCTAAACATTGTTCTTTAGGTTTAGTATGAAACCCACTTACCCTTGGTGATGAAAAGGAGAGGGCAGAGGGGGAAAATGAGATGTGGAGAAGTGCACAGCAATTACTGCAGAGGAAGATGACCTAAGGAATGGGAAGTCTTCAAAAAATACATCGTTTGTTAATATACGGTCATAGGAGTTCAGCTTTAGTTGGAAATATAAATTATGATATGTCCTTTCTTAAGGATTTGCACTTAGCACAATGTGTGTGTTTGAGTTGGGTGCATGTATTCATTGGCATGCACTGTGGATTTCACATTTTTGTGCCCCTTTCCTCTGTCACTTACTAGTTGGGTTTAGTGACCTTGAGTCTGTTTCTTCACTATTTGTCTCATCCATGAAATAAAATTTTCTACCTTATGTTGTTGGCATGAGAAGTAAATGAGTCAACGTATTTAAAGTGCCTGTTACAGAACAAGCACACTAAATTAGATTTTCTTTTTTTTCTTTGTGTTTACTTCCTTCCTCATATACTATGAGTCCACTAGACATGCCTTTTGTAAGTTATTTACTGTGTTTCCTCATTTGCTTTATTTTAGTTTAAAGGGAGTTTGAGCTCTAGATTCACACTTGTCCCCATCACGTTCAATCTATATGGTATGGGGCAAGTTATGGAATGGAAGTCTCAATTATATTATCTGAAGTTGATGATAATACCGGACTTCAAACTATACTACAAGGCTACAGTAATCAAAACAGCATGGTACTGGTACCAAAACAGAGATATAGACCGATGATAATAATCAAAAGAGTACTCACTGTCAGGGCCTGTGATATCACTCTGACTTCTTGATTTGACATTCCTTACCTTACATTTGTTCTATCATTCAATTTTTTTCATGCTAATTTGTAATAACTTATAAATTATTATTTTCAGAATAGGTATGTTATTTGAATAAAAATAGAGTCTGATGTAGATACAGCAAACAATGATTATGTGAATCAAGAAGTTAATTAAATCAATAGGCATTTATTGGAGCACGCTAAGAAACAGCTTTTGATCTGGTTTCTGATAATGCAAATCCACCCAAGAAGTAGCTCTTGCCTTCAAGTCGGTCACAGTCAGATAGATGAAAGATAATTGCATATAAACAAGGATCTTACGATGTAGTAAGGTCTATAACAGGAGCTACTGTAGCATCAGAGAAGGAACTGAACTTTTCTGTAATGGCATGGAATTATACAGGGGGTAGTACAAGTAGATATGTTTCATGATCATGAACAAGCATGAGCATTCAAGACAGAAAAGGCACAATACGCAAAAGTCAGAGTGTTTAACAAGCAGAGTTCAATGTCTCTTTTGCATGATTCAAAAAATGTGTGCAGGGAGAAAGTGAGCAGGATTTTCCACATATTGCTATCAAACTTGAATTTTACCCTGTAAATTATAATGATCCATTTATGACATTTATGCAGGGAATGGTTCAAGTGATGATGATTGCCTGAAATACAGCAGTGAACTTAGGAGAAGATGATAAAATATTGGACTTGAACAAATTTAGGTAGTAAGACCTGGAAGATACGGGATTTATTAATTATGAAATATAAGGTACATGAAATCATGCTAATAATTCTCCCTAGTAACACTAGATTCACCTATTTTGCTGCAGACGGGGTTACCAGTGTTATAATTAGGACCTCTGCTGGGATTGTTTAGGTTCTACCTCCCCTTTGAGGATTCCTGAACAGGAACAAAGTCCATTCGTAGGTCGTTTTGGTCAAGTCATTGAACAGGACCAAAAAAATTGTATCGTCCTACAAAAAAAGGAAACCTTGATATAATTGTTCTTTTCAGAAAGAGAACCTTTTAGAATACATCTGGCATTGGGGCCACCCTTGTTTAATTTATCCATTGTATTAGTCACCTAGGCTTGTCACAATAGAATACCATAGACTGGGTAGCTTAAACAACAGAAATTTATTTCTTGAAATTGTAGAGACTGGAAGCCTGAGATCAAGCATGGTTGGTTTCTAGTGAGGTCTCTCTCACTGGCTTATAGAAGGTTAGTCACATTCACATGGTGGGGGTAAGGTGTAAGGGGTTGGGAGAGAATGCATACTTTGGTGTGTCTCCTTATATGGACACTAATCTCATTATGAAAACCCACCCTCATCACCTCATCTAAACCTAATTATTTCCCAAAAACACCATCTCCAAATACCATCACACTTTGAGACTCCATCTGGGGAGATGCAATTCAGTTCATGACGTTCATACTTTTGCAATTCATCTACTTGCAGGAAAGATCGTTCTTTAAAACACACACAGAACAGCCCTTCTAACCGAGGCCATGGAACTGCCGTGACTATGACTTATATCACTCCCTACCTATGTGATTTGGAGCAAGTTATTTAATCTATGCCTCAAATTTCTCTGCTGTAAAACAAAAATAATAGTCAAATATAATAAAATGTTTGTGAAGATTAAATCAATAAACATTTAATGCCATAGAATAGAACCTAATATAAAAACTCAGTATTTCCTCTTAATTTTTATATACAATGCAGCCGTATTATAATGTGTAAAGACAGAGCATAAAATATGTATGACTTCAATTTTATTCGTTTTACATGCAAAGTTTTGTGGGATTTTCTTTACTAACCTGATTCATTGGCATTTTAAAACTTGTGGGCTATAAATTTTTTTTAATTTGCTCCTAATCCTCTAGAGGAAAGTTTGTCAATCATTTTCTCTTTTCACTATGTATGAAGTATTAATTAATCTGGAGCTTGCTGATGCCTGGGGGCCACAAGTATAAAATGTTACTTTAGTTTCATTAGGTCTGGTTTATTTCTAAATATTATCCAGCCCCTTTTCTATATGTAACACTTCTCGTGTTTATCTTCAACAGTTTGGCAGAATTGATTAGGTTTTAATA